ATAAAGACAAAATGTAATACTTTACCTTTTCAAGAGGAAAGAAACTACTTATAGCTAACAGGATAAAGCACATCAGCATTGCAGGTAATTTTACCAAAATGCCCCAAATGTCAGAGTTCAATAGCAATTCTGGCACTCTGGGCCTTAGTAACAACACCCTGCTATGTTGGAGGTGTGGCAAAAACAAAAAAAGTAGTATTTTACACCACCTTTACTTAAAATTCTGATATTTTATCATGTATGTTTTTTGCATTGATTTTATTTTTTAAAATACCGCATTAAATACCTTCTTAACTACTGATTTTTTGACACCTCCTTAAATTCTACACCCAAAATAAGTGCCCACTAACCTCAACTCTACTCTTAGCCCTGCTTGATAAGTAATCTCCTCGAACTTTAGTTACCTCATCTGTAAAACTGAGGGAATAATAATTAAAAGGATGATGAGGACTGAATGATACTGCAAGCGTTAAGTACTTGTTCACTGTAAATGTTAATGTATAAATACATTTACAAAGCTTTATGCAACTCCAAGATAAGGTTTTTATATTAAACATTATATTTAAGGATGTAAGCTTTACGGCAAGTTTAAATCTCATGATTGATGACAGAAATTGAATCAGAGGCCTTACAGAAATAGAATTTAAGATATACCTCTTCCTACCAAACCTTATGTAAATAAAGAAAAAGGTACAGTAACAACCCAAGAAATCAATTTCCTTTCCAGGTTTCATAATTAATCTTCATTTGTAAATCCTGTTTGTCTTCAGATTTTCTTTTTACAGTTCTTAAAAACATTCAATTCACCAAAAATAAAAAATTAATTTAGGAAGAAACTCTAAGAAAAAAATTGCAGCTCAAACAACAGAGGTGAAAATATACAAATATAAAAATTGTTTGTGAAGAAGTTGGGGATGTGAACCTTTTAGTTCAAGATAGGGGGATTGTTCTAGAGTGAAGGAAGGTGAGATGCCTCCTGGTCTCATGAGCTAATGATTGTTTCCAAACTGGTTAGAATTCAGTGCTAATTGCATTTTAAAACACCACCTCTGAAATCCTTTCCTCTCTCAGGATCTTGCATCAATGTTTCACATTTTCGATAAAACCTTTGCACTTCACCTTTCTCACTCAACAAATCCTGAACGTTAGATCTACAAGAAGAATTCAGTTCAGATCCTTCTCCTGCCTGGCAGGTTTTGATCTGGTGGTGGTGATGTCAATACCTAGGAAAGGCTGTCCTGCCCAGGTTCTGGGGAGGGGGGACAATTAATCGGTACTTTGGTAACTCTACTCAGGCTTGTCCATTCTAACAGAGAGTCATTAAACAACTTTCCAGTGTCATTCAAAGAACTTATAACAGAATCAATTGATTTCCATCCTCTGCTTTATTAGTTGTGATTTAGGAAATAGAATGGCCCTGTTTACACAACTGTAACATGTCAGGACCTGTAGTACATTATTGGCTTGAGGCCTCCGAGTTGCCGTGCATTTTCAGCAGAATCAATCTGAACTTGAAAACATTCCCTCTAGGAAACATGCACGTATCTAGTAGCATAAAGCACTTCTTGTACAACTGAAAACAGTATTCACCTGAGGTAAGTCACAAGTTCACCTTCCAAAAATCAGCCCCAACTTGTCATTGCTCTCAGCATGTTCACGATGGGAGCAGAGGGCTACAAATGCCTCTTAACTAGGTACCCAGCATCGGTGAATGTGTTACACTTTGCTGCTAGTCGGATCTCAGACTCTGCAAGTGGGAGTAGCTGGCTGTTTAACATGCATTCAGAGCACTGCCAATCTAAAATGGCTGCTCAGTAATACTTTAATTGCAGTTTCATGGAAACAAATTGCTATTTAACTGCAATAAGCATTTCTGTGACTCGGCTGGACTGACAATAGGTGAGTCTTAGTAACAAAGCTACAAGTAACATTAACTTATAAATGGCCTTTTTCCAACGGCCTCTCAAAGGAGTCATAGGTGGGACAGCACCCACGATAGAATTCCCTGGTGAAGGATGAAGGGGTCTTTGGTGTGAAGGGTGAAAGGATTTTTGCATTTCCTCAATTTAAATACAATTATTTAGGCTACTTAGAAACTCTTCACTAGAATCAATATGTAGCTGTTGGGTTCACTGTTATATCATTTATGGGCCCTAAGAAATATTTTATATAAATAGTAGTGCACATTAGAATCTTACTATATTGACATTTAAAGCCCTTTAAGAGCTTCATTTTAGATGATTAGTTGTTTCAAATATCAGTGTTAATAAGGGCAAAAGAAAGAATTTAAATACAGCTAATATTAAGAGGATGACAATTTCACAGGCTTCATTTTGGTGTGACAGTTTTCTCATTTTGTATTTTATAAGACTCTACAGTCCGTGTTAAACTATTTCCTAATAAATCATGAAGAGCTGAAAATAGTTTCTAGTGGCAAACAATTTGGTTTGGAAAAGCTTCAGGCTCCCCTGCCTTGCGGGATGTGTAAATCTAACTAGACAGTTAGATAGGTAAAAAACATTAAACCCTTTTAGAGGACAATCTTTTTACAAAATTGTTTCATTAGCAAGAGTGACAATTTGCATGATTGAGACATTTATATGTATCATAAACATAATTTTTTTTTATCAGGAGTTCAGCAGGGCTCAGTAACATTTGCTTTTATTTCTAATTGCACTTGCTTGTAGGGACTGGGGGCCATCTTGCTCTATGACGTGGTTAATAGTCCCCCTTCGAAAAAACAGGGTTCATCTCGCTAACTAATAACACCACAAATGCAATGGATGAAAGGTGGAAGAAGCTCATAGGTTTTTTTCTTCCCTAAGCAATGTTGAGGTTGGGGGAGGAACTGCACACAAATCACTGCTCACATCAGAATAAACCTGAGTGTTTTTAGTAGCTTTCTATCCACAGAGCATCCCCATTAGAGCTGGGTTTTATTGTTTGAAATGCCTCTGGTTTCAAGAAAGTGTTTTACCTAAAGCAAGACTACTACTTAAATATGTTCTATTGTATATTCACAGCTCCATTAGTCCTTCTCCAATTTAGCACATCAAAGAGAAGGCTTCATCACTTGCATGTGGATTATACTAACATGAGTGACATTTGTAATCTTATAGGTCTGCAACTTAAGAAATGCTTTTAGAAGCTCATTATTAAATAGGCAACAGTGCTTGAGGAACCAGCCATATAATAGTTTATTTAAAGTCTGAAATGACCTTAGCCCTCCACATCACTAAATGCCACAACATATTATTTACTAAAATTATTAACCACCTCCTTTGAATTTCTACACTCTCAGGGACATGAATGCGTATGCCAAAAAGAACACTGAAAATGCTTGCAATCTCATTAACGCATTTCCCCCTTTACCATCCCAAAGAGTCTGACTTCCTCAGAAACTTTCTTAAAGGGGGGAAAAAAAATGTAAGAACCAGAACTAGTTTGAAGAAATTCCCCAAGGATCTAATTCAAACAGATATTATGTATGGGATTTCTTCATATTATTTCCTTGCATTTTGTTTTTATAAGGTTCTAACAAAACTATTCACTTCCAACTCTATGCCTTTACAATTCTCCTCTAGGAAGTTTGAAGTTCAAGCAACTGATTTTTTTATTTTTCCTGCCCTGGAATCTCTGAAAACAGGAAGTGAGCACAAAAGTTCTCAAAGGGAAGCTGACTGGTAGTTGAGATGTGCTGGGTTAGACCTGTCTCCGTGGCTCCACTATTCTCAGAGGTCGGGTCTACATCAGGTGCTTTTCTGGGACAAAATAAAATAAATGCCATTTTAAAAAAGAAAACTTAAAAGTAGTAGTAGGTTTGATTAGCCTGTGATGGAAGCTGTAGTTGAGACTTGCTCGTATCTAAGGAGGCTGGCGGTACAACCTCAGCATCCGGGCCTATTTGGTTTTCCTCCTTGCAGCAGTAGCTGTTATACTGCATGTTTTCTGCAGGGCAGCTCTGCGGGCAGTGCAAGTGGTGTCATGGATACTCTGCCTACAACCAGCAACCCGGTATCTCAAGACTAAGACTTAACTGAAGTCAGAATCTTCCCTCAAAATACCCACAGCAAGGCAGAACCAGTACAGAAATGTGGGAGCAAAACAAAATAAACTTATCTTACAGCCGACCACACCAGACTAAAGGCTCACCAGGAAACGGCTACTTCTCCCGTCAAAGATCACTGTAAAAGAGCTCCCAGGCTGGGCGCGCTGCCTCACGCCGGTAATCCCAGCACTTTGGGAGGCTGAGGGGCGGGTGGATCACGACGTCATAAGTTTGAGACCAGCCTGGCCAACAAGGCAAAACTCTGTCTCTACTAAAAATTAGCCAGGTGTGGTGGAGGCTGTCTGTAATTCCAGCTACTTGGGAGGCTGAGGCAGAATTGCTTAAACTTGGGAGGCAGAGATTGCAGTGAGTTGAGATCGTATCATTGCAATTGCACTCCAGCCTGACCAACAAAAGCAACACTCTCTCGGGGCTGGGGGCGGGGAAGCTCTGGGTCCTACAACCAAGTGAGCTTCAAAGTATGTACTGGTCTGACTTAGAAATGCAGCTTCCTTCAAAAGCTATAAACTTGTTAACAGAACGTGGTTGTGCCGTAGTTTTTTTTTTTTTTTTTTTTTAACATACTTTCATCAATACCCAAGGCTTTGCTATCAAGAAAAAGAATAAACAAAATAGCTGTATACTCAAAACAAGTATTTATACATAAACACAAAAGACTTACTGTGATATAGAAGTGTAACAAAGTGCTGTTAACAGAATATTCCTGACGTATAGAAAGGACTCTGTTAGAAACTTTGCTTTGTACCCCTGCCAATAATGGCATGGTTAAGCAATTTGAAGAATCCGTTACTGGCCCAGAGCTAAATATATATACACAGCACCTCCCTCAACTCCTTCAAATTTAAAGTGAGCTTGTTATTCAACAATAAAAACTAAAATTTTCCAAAATACAGAAGAGAAAAAACAGTGTTTAAACCCAAACACCATAGAATATTTTTTCTTTAAAGTTTTTATTATTTAAATACACCATACTAGAGCAAATGTCTCTGAAAATATCACAAATAAAAGATTTTTTTTCTTCATTCAGCAAATTAGAAGTAGGGGAATTTTCTACACAGTAGCTGCTATGAGCCTGATTTTTTTTTTTCCAATCTTTTTTCTTTTTTTTTTTTCTTTGCCATGGGCGTAGCAACATTAGGACAAAAACACTTACATGCATACATACATTGTATTTTACAGAGATACAATAAGTGTTTGTGATAGAGTATCACAAAAGCCACATCTCTTTCCTTTATCTCATGTTCAGTTTTGATTGAAACACATTTCCTTACAACACTTAAATATACAAAGAGCAAATAGAATGTTGTTAAGGTAAAACACAGGGTACAAACTCTGGCCAGTGCCCTGCTAATTGTTAATGAGGGTAGAAAGCAGATTTGAATGCTTCTTTTAATTAGCTTCATTAGTCATTTCCCTCCCCCCCCAGTTCCCCCCCCCCCAAGATGTCCTCTGGTGGATCTTTTTTTCATTTTCTCTACAGTCTCCCATTAGCCCAGGTTCATGGAGTCCTTAATGTTCATATTCAGTCATTTTAATACACCAATAAATGCGGGAAGGGCAATCAAGACTAAAGAAGGTGCAATGGCATGGAGCTGGCACTGGTGCTAGCTACAAAGGTGACTTGTCTACTGAAGACACATGGGATCCACCTGTGATGAACAAATCTGAGATGAAGGCACGCATTCTGCATTACTCTGACCTTTTAGCAGACCTGCAAGAAATAAAAACGGGCATCTTAGCTAAAATGCTAAATTTGAGAGATATTAAACTCAAACATGACTGCTTTTGTCTTCCCCACATTCACTAATCTTTTATTAGGTTACTTTCCAACTGTGACTTGATAGAGGCCTTCTATGCTACTTACTCTGGCAGTGAAGAACTAAAGCATAACATTTTCTGCAGTTTTACTAGCAAGGAAAATGAGACAGTAAATGGACTCTCAGAAAGTTTCACTGTAAAGTACTACAGTGAATTGCTTAACTCTGTGAAGAGCAAGCGTCCTTCCAAAAGGAATGTAACATCTTGCCCAGCAGTGGGATCTTGAGTTTAAATAGCGGGGACATTCCAAGATAAGTTTCTACCCAGGAAGTTTTGGGTTAGTATGCTCAACTGTGTAACCTTTTAGAATGTTGCTTAAACTCCCTGTGTCTCAGTTTCCTCATTTTTAAAGAAGGGATAATGATGATGCTGTTGTGATCAGTGTATATAGATACGGGAGCACTTTCAACAGTGCTTGGCCTTTAATAAAAACTAAACAAATATTGGCAGTTATCATTATTATTCCAATATTCCCATGTAAAAATATCACCCAGATTGGTATGACCTGTGTATGTGTCTGTATGAAAAATTCTATTCACATATTCACATATTTTTCACTATTTCCTATCTGCTATGTCACTTAATAGTTACATAAATATATGAATCAATACACGTAATATGATAATGACTTGTGATAGATTAAAGAACTTAGCTTCAATGTCTAAGTCAGAAATGGAAATCCACACACTTGTCAAATACAATCTGTTTGCAATTACCAAAATGAAATAATGTATATTACGTTTTTATGGTTTTTAAATGACATTTTGAGCTTCCCAGGAAGTTCTCGTTTCACCCTTTCCCTAACTTACAAAAAGCCTGTAGTCTATTAGGAACTGCAACCCCCCACTTCCAAGCTAATTAAAGTGGTAGAGGCTTAATTCCCCAGAGTGGAAGCTCAGTGTGAGAAAGGTAATTTGTCTGTCCAGAACAAAGATGCGGCAGCAGCCAGCAAGCATATTTAATAAATGAGCATCAAATGTCCTCTACGATGGACACACACAACACCAATTATGTAACCATGGGGGAACTTCGAAGTGACATGTAAACGAGAACAGTAAATTTTTCTCCAACTAAAGAGAGGTGATCTAACTCCTGTTCCACTGAAAAGCACAGGTAATTCTAGATTCACTATCACACTTTTGAGTGGAAGAAAAAAATTCCAGAGCAGACAGCAATCTACAGAGGAAAAAATTAGCCACAATCCTGATTTACATAACCCTCTAGAAGGCAGTATTCTCCCGAAGCTAGCCTCCTTTAGTGATACAGGTTAAAACATTTTGTAGCTCCTTGCACACTAGTGGCCTGAGATTTCAGTCCATCTGAAATGCAAGATTTCAATCACTGTATGACTTAAAAGCTTAAAATTATTTTCCTCAGAACATACAAAAGTCAATGATGCAGAACAACAAATAAACGACACAGCCCAGACCCTGGAACAAACGTCAGAATACAAGGACCCTGTCAATGAGGGCCTATACTTTCCATACAATTAACTGTCTTTAAAGAAGGGATGTTTGAATAATTAACTCATTGCTTTTAAGTCAGAGGATGCTTGAGTACATTTACTACGCACAATACACCAAAAATATAATTGATTCTGCAAATAGAAGGAAAACGGCCAAAATAAATGTCCAATTTTCCCTACCAAAAATATGGAGAACGAGAGAGGAAAAAATAATAAAAAGAAGCCATTTGTCATTTCTCCCCACCTCATCGCCTCCAGAAAAGAAACGCCACAGGGTTTTGGGAAAATAATTTTAAAGCCTCTCCAGTTCCAAAAAGCAGTTTATGTTCCACCAGTAAGTGTGTTTTCATTAACTCTTCCCCCTTGCCCTCTAATTAATATCTCTCTGGACCACATTCAGCTTGTCCAAAACCTTTAGTTATAAAAACTACCTTGTGAATTGACTGTGTTCATGGTGAGCTAAGCACCGAGGGCAAAAATGTGAGAGCCTTAACGCCAACAGAGAAATGTTCTTAATTAACAGCACCCCAAAACACAGCTTCTCACCAATGTCTGACAAGAATGTATCTTTAAGTTGTATTTCCTTATGCCTTTTAAGAGCTATTAATTTTTGAAGCCCACCTGTCTCTTTTTTGGCTTCCAACATTAATACACACTATTAGGTTCTTATTCATTGCCTAAAATATATTTATGTTCCAAAATGAATACACTACCACTGCCATCCTGGATAAGGTGTGGAAAACAGATTTCAATGAAAGGCACAATAACATGTAATTTATAAACAGGTAAACCTGGTTTATCTGCAGTTCTCCCAAACACCTCTAAATGTACGCCATCTTGGACTGTACAAGATGGTGTGAAATCTTGCTCGAATTTCTTAGGTGCGCGCTTTGCACTGAGTCCCTACCTAACATTGCTACTGCCTATATTCAGTGCTTCATAGTCGAGCTACATTTTCCATCTCATCTCTACATCCTTTCATTCTCACTATGCATGCTGGTGAGCTGCAACAATCATTTTTTTGTACAGTACTTCGCTAAGTCAGGGAAAGAAATGGTATAAAACCAGCGACAAGTGAAGGTCTAACTTGGGGAAAAATAAGGAGTGGAAAAAAAAGTCTACTGTGTTATTTCTAGCACTTTTGTTCTTCTTTGCTACCGAGTGTAACTACGAATGGCTTTGCCTCGATTTGAATAGGTATCTCAAAATATTTATGTTACCATCATTCATTGTTCTCATCTCTGCCCTGTAGATTCACTTCACTAGAATCCAAATCATAAAAATCTTTAAGTATTTAGATGTCTTGGAGTGTCCTAAAGCAGCTTGAAATGCCTCATCAGCGGTGACTGGCTAATTTGCAGTTAAAAAGTTTGACTTTTACTCTTAAAACAATTACTCTATGTAGCTTCCCATACTAGTACATTAAATAAAAGTGCACATAATTTCATGTAATTAACACTAAGAAGCGGAACATACATTTAAAACTACCTTATAAACTTGAGCAAGGGAAAAAGGACAAATATAAGCATCAAAATATGGCAGCATAATTTTAATGGTTAAAAGTTTTCAAGTATTTGTCATCCCCCCACCTCCACCACCGCATTAAGAAAATGCATTACAGAAGACAAAGAAGTCTATTTTCCCGAGACTTTTGAAGCTTGCTAAATTCCTATTTGCAGATAAATGTTTTTTTTTTTGTGATCCTTACAACAGACATTAATGAAGTTCCTATTGTAAATCCATAAAGAATTACCAAGTGAAGTGTGCACTTTTTGTTTCAATGCAATAACTCAGTGCTGTGTGATTGCCTGGGTTAATGATGAAAAAGTCAAACATACTATCAGAGCTGATGGAAAAATCTATCACCAATCTGAAATTAAAATTCATCTGTGGTCAATAAGATTTAATATCCATGCAAGTGGCGCTGTAAAGAGTAAATGAATCAATGTCATCAATACATAATCAGTATGAAATACGATGTGAATAAAATTATGCACACGAGTCATACATTTCACTCTTCTGGGCCAGTGTGGAATGAACAGTCTCTTAACTGAAGGTTGACAGTAATTGTTACAAATTAGGCACAGCAGTTATCAAAATGCACTCACTTGCATAGCTATAGGACTTATTAAGG